TATATATATATATATACTTAAATATCATGCGGTAAGAACGGCCAACCCCATTCCTGACTTATCTCATCCCCCTTGCCTAAACTCTGAGTACTTTAACCCTTCTGTAACCACCCAATTTGCACATGACACAATTAAACCTCCTGTACCTGTGCTACTGAGTGAACTGATACACACCACTTCAGTTTCTAAAGTCAAATTCTACCCTAATTCAACAAATGTTGGGTTAGATAAAACCCCACAGTAGTTGGGTACCATTAATTTATTCTGCATTATTCTGTTTTCTCTCCTTTCTTTTTAATAGCCACTTGTTTTGAGCAGTAAAGAGAGACAGGAAAAGACAAACAGGTGTGCTGCAGTATCAGAAGATCTCTTCCTGTGTGTGCAGGGAGAAGAACTCATGATAAAAATTGTGGACAGGTTGTATGAATAGGCGCTGCTGCATGCTTTTGCCTTTCTTTAAACCCAGGGAATGATGTAATTCTTTCCTGTCCATCTAAATAGTAAATTACACATTACTGAAGCCATGCAGCAGGACTGTCAAGCCAAAAACAACTACTACTCTCTGTTTCAACGCTCTGCTTGGCAGTAATTAATGCTACTTACAGAGGTGCACAGTTTCAGATGGGGCAACAGGGCAACTCTGCATCACTTACTGTATTTAAGTGCTGGTGAATGCAGCACAACAGACTCTATGAGCTGTCAGCTAAACGGCACGTATCTTAATGTTTCACGCCAGAAAAACAAATGGCAAGATAGGGAGGATATGACCCAAACTGTGGTTCAACCTTGATGTGTCTATGCAGTTTCCTGTTTGCTTGCTCGCCTTGTACCTACGACTTCTGCCTCCGTCTGCAAGGGAGTAGGGGCCTTTTGAAAATGAAGAAGCGGCTTGCTGCACACAAACATACTTTGAGCTGAGGACCAACTTAAAATTGTTAGGGGTCCATGGTTCCTTTTTGTGGTTTTTTTTTTTAACTCATTGGATATTTGTCCTCCATATCTGTAAAATCAAATATTTGGTAAACATAAAATATTTGATGTACAAGTTTATTTATGTGTTTTTAACCACACAACCTATCCACTAGTGTAACAATGAAGAAACCTCAGCAGATGTCAGTCTAGTCCACCATGTTTATGCACTCCTAATGTGGTAATGGTATTTTTTCTGTATCTTGGAAACGCTCCTCTGTGAGCTTCCTGCCAGCTAGCTAGCCAGGCAGGCAGTCCCTCTTCCCATATGCTGGTACAGAGGGGTTTTACTATAATTCTCTGTAGCAGTGAGGGTCACAGATTCATTCCTGTGCTTTAATAACAGTGGGATTATCAAGGTTCAGCCAGCTAACCCTTTCTTCACTTTCATCGCCTTCACATGGCTCACACATCCATCCAGCTTCATCCATTCCTTCATGTCTCAGTTTCTATATGTTTTTATATTTCCTGTCTAGTTCTGACTATCTGCTCTTTTTTCACTCTTTTTTGGGTATATCCCTTTTTTTCTTGTTTTATTTGTCTTGTCCATCTACAGTTTCTAATTCCTCTCTCCCACCCTGTATCCCAGCCCCTCTAGATCCTCACCAATAACATGCATGTCTCTATTAATTTTCTGGGATCTCTCTCATTTGCTGCCTCTCCTCTTCTCACCCAGACGGGATGAGATGGGTTGGGCCTGACTGTGACTGAAGCACTGTTGCTAGGTGCCTAGGGATGTTCCCCTTTCTGTGTGCGCTTGTGTGTGTGTGTGTGTGTGTGTGTGCAAGTGTGGGTGGGTGGGTGCATGTACTGTGTGAGGCTGTATTGCTATGTGTCTGGCAGAAAGTTAGATGTTCTCTTATGTAAGCAGGTCTTGGCTGGGTAGAGCAGGGGTTTAGCTTGGGGATGCTGGCTCAGGTGGAGAGACGGAGACGGATGCTATTTTGGGTATACTGCGCTCCTTACATCCGCCGAACGCATGAGTTATTCACTCACACGTGTCTTTTAGTTCTACCAGGATGAAAGGACAATAGGAAAGTGGTGTACTGTGGTGGTGTGCAGATATTTGTAGTGACATTTGATCCTCATCCATGTCTGTCAAGTATATTAAAAATGGAAGTGGAATTTCTTTTTTGTAATGTTATTCATTTATACCTAAAATAGTCAGTTACTGTCTTCTGCAAAAAATAGATTTTGATGTAGCCAATTATTTGTTTTTGTTTGTTTTTATTTTATATCAGTATCAGAATAATCTTAAATTTGAGAATTTGCTGTTTTATATTGGTGTAAATGTAATTTCTTTCATTTGAATTCATAGACTAAATGATGAATCAGCTGGTGAAAAATGAATGGAGAGGTTAATCAATAATGAAAATAATTGTTGCAGCCCATATACAAATGAAAGGACTCTTGCTCTTAGAACCTTGTACAAAGAGGGGACAAAGGAACAAAACAGCCATTATATCATGTCATTATATAATTATAACACTGTGGTTACAGCTTACAGCCTTCCACAAACAGGGTTGATTTCTTTGTGTGTTATTCGCATTGGCTGCAGCTAAAGATGATTCATTATTGATTCATGTGAAAATTATTTCCTTGATTTATTGATCAAAGCAAAAGTTTGACAAAGAGACAGAGTTTGCTTTCTGATGGATGGTTAACGTTAGATGAGAAGACTGATATCACTTGAACATCTCTCCATTGAATAAGAAGCTACAGCAGTTGGTTAGCTTAGCTTAGCTTAGCTTAACACAAAGACTCTGGCTCTGAACTGTTGTGGAGAATCCAGGAAGTCCCCCTGCCAACAAAACAAAACAAAACAAAACAAAACAAACAACAACAACAACAATAACAGTGAATTATTAGTTTTTTGTTCAGTGCAAAAATGCCTGTGACAGTTGTTCAAATATCTTGTTTTGTCTGACCAACATTCCAAAGATATTGAGTTCACAATGGTATAAAACATAGAAAATGTAGAATAAGTTTCTTATGTTTTCAAATACATACAATACAATACAGTACATGTCAGATTAACCCAGACTTCCATTTTTAGCACTAAAAATCTGGACACAGCCGGGTGACATTATTTCATTGTTCTCTGACAGCTTCACTAATCTCTTTTCACTAATGTATCGCTCTGTCCATTTGCCCTCTGTTTCAGAGCATGGCACTGGTCTGGCTCCAGTCTCACCTGCCCTGTGCTAACCCAACCGGTATCACGAGTATCAGCCATCAGCACACTTCCAGCCAAGCTTGCTGAACAGGACTGCGTGGAGAGTCATGCTGTCTGGGACCTGGCGGCGTTCTGTGGGGCACCAGCAGTCTGCTGCAGCGCCTGTGGTGGCCTCCAGGGGGGTGACAGTGTGCGGGGTCCCCAGTGGCACGGTGGTCCTCGAGGCCCAGTATGACTACAACTACCGCGGTGCTGATGGACGGCAGGTCTGCATTAGTGAGGGTGAACGGTTTGTTCTCCTGAAAAAGACCAACACTGACTGGTGGCAGGTGAGAAAAGAGTTAATCTTTTCTTTGTCTTGTGTCAGTGGAACCAAATATTTGAGAAAAACATGGACATCTGCATCATCTACAGGGTTCCATAGACTAAAAGAAAGATGAAAACCAACAACGTGATAGCTGATATTTTATTTATTAACTAGTCAAAAATATATACTTTCAAATTACTAAAACAGCTGGGCACTAATGTATCAAACATTAGTCAAACTTTTATTTCGCGAAGCTCTAGCCAACAACTAAAAGCCAGTTCTACATTCAATCTTGTCTGGCGGCCATTTGCTCGGTTAATCCCTTTTCTCTTCTTAGCTCTCCATCAAAGTCCTCTTGGGTCTCTTTAACCTCTGCCATGATGTCCCAAGAGGCTGCTGAGCCCAGTTAGCTTACCTGCTTGCCCAGCTCCGATTCTGGTATCTATTTCAGCGCCACTCCCCTTTAGCAATCCCTCCTGCCCCAGGCATGAAAACCTCCTCCTCCTGGCAATGCAGAGCTCCTGTGTTACCAATGAAAACACCAACACTCCCCCGGTGCTCTGAGCCTAACTGAGCTAACTACCAGCAGCAGCTACAGTTTGTAGCAGTTACTTTACTGTTCATCAATAAACTGTAAATAACTAAGAGTTGATGCGGAGCTGCCGGAGGACATTAGAGGGAAAACCAGAATTTTTTCCCCCCATAAATTATGATGCAGTTTCACAAAAATCAGTGACATAGTTTGTGGGATTGACAGAGGCAGCATTCACCTTACTACAAGTCAGTGTAGCATCAAAGTAATTTTGAGGTTGTTATTTTAATTTTATACCCCACTTCAACTGAAACATGATTCAAAGATTCAATAGTCATATTGTAATGTCTGTTTTTGGCTATCCAGTCATTTAAATGCTTGATCACAATCGCAAAAATACAATATTCATAAAGCAGCCCAAAACAAAAAAACACATTAGAAAAAGTGCAATTAGCATCGGTGACCATATGGTCTTTGTATTTCAAAAGAGTATTTGTGGTTTGTTGTTTTGTCATTGCATCTGTTTGATGTCTCAGGAACTGCAGTGTAATAAATTTCAGTGTTCAGGCCTCAGCTGTGTCAGTTGATGCTTGGTTTAACTAAGTGGATCCACGTGGGAGAAAATAGCAAAAGCATTTGGAAATCTGTTTGTTCTTTGACAGGTGCGGAGGATTGGGGCAGCCAGTAAAACAAAGCCATTGTATGTCCCTGCCACATATGTGACAGAGGTGCCCATTGCACCGATGCCCTCGCCACAGCGCCTTGTCATGTCTGCCTCGCTGAACTCCAACCTCAGGATACTGCCAAGGGTGTCACTCTCTCCCAGCCCATCAGCAACTACCTATAATGATCAGCATCAAGGTAAAGTGTGAGGGAGTCTGAGAAAACATTTGGTGTGTGTTTTTTCAGTGGCAATGACATCTGTTTTATAAGAGTATAATTAAATATATATAAGTACAAATTTGTGTGTTGGTGTTTCTCTCGACTATAGAAGGAAAATAAGCTCAACATTCACTGATCTTGTATAATGACAATTTATTTTACCTTCCTCTCTCAGTGAACAAACCCATCTACCGTTCCATGGAAAACCTCAACTCCAACAGTGCCTTCCAGGGGCTGGACAACAACACCTGCATAGGTGGAGGCCGCTTCCCCACCCTGCCCCTCTCTGGATTCACCTTTACCCCCAACTCTCCCACCTCCCCATCAGGCCACCTCATGGTCCCTGGGTCCCCCGCATATTCCGCGGGACAAACAACACCACGGAACCCCAGGGCGGTCCCCATGATCACGCGGAGCCAAAGCTCCAGCAACCTGCCTGAAAATTTGGTTGAGAACCTGTATGACGAGGTGGGCGGTAGCTTCAGCAGTCGCGTCAACCACAGGATGCCCAAGAAGTCTTGCAGCCAGTGGGACATGGGGGGAGCTTCGGGCAAAAACAACCATCTGAAGGTAGGGAGAGATGAGGCTTAAAAACCTCAAATAGATGTTACTCAAATATCTGGTTTACACAGTAGAGCACAATGGAGCGTAAAGGGGAATTCCTGTACTGTATTTGTAAACTACATGTTATTCTCATATTTTTGGTTTTGATTTGCACTTTCATTTCCATTTTATGTTTAATTTTGAGACCACAATCCATTTTTTCCAAGGTGGTGAGTAAAAGGTATAGTGACCAGTAATCATAATGGATAAACATATCAGAATAACAACCAGGTGCACAAATACCAGAGTTTCCCTTCAGTTAAACTAAAGTAGGCCATGTTCACATCAATTGTGTTTGAGTAAAGCTTTGGCTCAATGAGATCAATGCCTTTCACAATTGGGTAGTACAAAATAATCGACAGCAGAAGTCAGACCAAATATCTGCTCACTCTACAGAAATATTGATAGTAGTGATCTTGTTTTGCAACATATCTTGCGCATTTCCCTTGGAACAAAACACAAGCTGAGCTTAGGTCACATTTTTGCATAGAAAATGTATTTCAGATTAGTTAACAGAGAGAAAGTACAAGAAAAAGTCAGGGCAACAAAAAAGATTATTCCAGCACTTGATCCTGTAACTGACAACCCGTCAAATCTACTACCACTATTGTCAACAACTCTATATTCAACTGTTACTTCAAGCTTTCTCTGATCCTCATTAGTATGAAAAATAGAAAGAATGAATGGAAATCCAAAACAAATCCACCACATTGAAGGAAGTGTGGCATTAGATTCTCTAATCTGATGGAATTATAGGTCAAAACTCCAAAACTCTAACAGACCAGCTGGTCATTGTTGTGGCCTTGAGACTATGCAGGGTAAACCTTAAGAAAAACTTTAGATGTTAACTATTGACATATTTTTGCTACTCCATTAAATCGGAGAATATTTTTCAGCTGGAAACTAGTAATATGTTTTTATTTAGAAAACTGATTAAAACACAAAAAGATCTTGTGCGATCCCAGCAGCCGACCGAGTACAGCCAAGGCAGCAGAGGTTGTATTTTATCTACGTCTGTACTTGACCTTAATAATCCTCCCAGAGCAGCAATCAAGTTAGCATTGTCGTGACGTCAGAGCCTCCCTGTATTACATCATAGGGGATTACACAAGGCGCTGTTGTCGGGAGAAATACTGAAGGTTATCTGTCCCTTGGCTCTGGGAAGTTCCCACAGCCGAGTCACTCCAAAAGGAGTTTTGCCTCCAGTGAACCATGCGTGCACAGTTTACTTTGGATAGCTGGGATCTCAGTGGGAATGATAGTGCTCTTTTTTTCTATGTCTCTCATTGTCTTTTGCCCCCTGTCTGTCTCTGTATGAGTCCCTCTCTCGCTCTCTCTCTCTCCTTCATTCAAGCCTTTAATACCAGTAAGCAGGATTATTGCAGCCACATTTAGGTCATAACTCCCTGTGTTTCATCCAGAAAACTCTCTCACCATACATTTTTGTCAGCCACACTGGTGATGAATTTTAATTACATTTAATCTTAGTCCTCCAGGGGGCGAAATTCCATTTGAACTTGAAGAGTTTCAATTGTTAAGAGGTTGTTTTTGGCCATACATTACATGGCCTAAAGTCTGTGAACATTATGCCCAGGAGTAATGGCTGAACATCTCATACCAAAACAATGGGCATTGATATTCTGCTACAATAGTTTCCACTCTTCTGAGAAGGTTTTCCACAATATTTTGGAACCTGGCTGTAGGCATTTGCTTCCATTTAGCCACAAGAGCAGTAGTGACATTGGCCACTGATAATGGCTGATAAAGCCTGACTCATAGTCAAATCTATCCTAAAGGTGCTGCCTGTGTGGTGTTAAAGTCAGTAATCTCTGTAAGCATATGCATATGAATGCAAAATCTGTAGGCAAGAGATAAGATTTTGCTATCTGTTGTGTTCTGGTTCCTGTTTGTAGCCGGAGTAGTATTGACTAATTACAGGCTTTGGTTGCATGCAGGTAAACAGTCCATGTGGAGAGCAAAAGAGGTGGGCCAAACGCTTGGGTCGAAATTTAATAAGTGGAACCCATCAGCTATTGTCTGACAATGATTTAGCTTTTTATCAGCCCTTTTAAAAATGTGGTCATATAAAGATATATGTTGTTTGTTTGGTTTTGCCTCTTAAGTTGCTAATCAGACTTTAAACTAAGGCTGTGTATTGGCAAGAATCTGGCAATATGATATGTATCACGATACAGAAGTTACGATTTAATATATTGCCATATATTGTGATACTGTAAGGAAGGCAATATATTGCAATTTTTAAATACATTTTAGAAAAACTGTCACAGTATAAAGAACATACCACTTTTTTGATGCAACCAGAACAGTGCGATCTGCACTTGTATTTATCACAGTCGCTGTAATATCCAACATCATAGTCCTCAGTTCATGTTGACAACACTGCTATCTAGCTGTTGGGGGTTTAAACACAAAAATCAGTTTTTTGGGAATCGATACAATATCACAAAACATAATATCCTGCACAATATGATATTTTTCGATATCTTCACCAAACTGTTGCCACAGAGCTGGAATCACACTACTGTCTGTAATATCATTGTTTGCTGTAACATTAAGATTTCCCTTATTGGAATAAATATCCACATACTTTTGGCCTTATAGTGTATGACTGAGAGAGATGAAACTTAGGGAGAGACAGAGAGAGATGAAATGCAATAGAAGTCCCTATAAACTGGGAACATTGCGGGTATGTAAATAAGACCACTAAACCACCTAGACGCCGCTGATGTACTGTTTACTACCTTATACATATACTTACTACGTTATGAATTATACAAGGTTTTATTTCATGCGTCACACTAGACATCCAAACATAAACCATCATTATTGAACAAATCATATTTACTCTGGTTTTACAGCTGTTGTGTGCCCAGTCAAATATAACTTACCATAGAAAATGAACGTATAAGCCTGAGCAAAGAACTGAAACACACAAACACACACACCGCTTCTCTCCTCGAGGAGGAGGAAACCCCTCCCCCCACGGAAACCAAACCTTTCAAGCACAATGTTAGGAGTTCTCATGTCTAACTACAGTCACACATTTGCACTTGCAACAATTTCTTCTCTCACATGTCCCACTTTCCCAAACATTAAACCCAAACTTTTAGTTAGATATGAGACAAAACACAGTATTACAGTACAGTTTATCTAGACCAGTATACCACTGACTATATCTCTGGTCTGTAAATAAAGCTTCTCTTCCTCATGTCATTTTGTGGTAGAGTCACAGTGAGCATGCAACCAACTGTGAATAAGCACTTGAGCATAGCTCTGGTGAGATGATGAGATATCAAACCTGAAGAAGAAGAGGTGGAAGAGGAAGTGTCTGAAATTGAAGTCAGTACTGAATAAGATCAAGGATCAACTGTTCTGGAGAACAAACTGATGAAAAGGCTGCTGACACAAAGGACAAAATGACTGTTCATTGTTCTGGAAACAACAAACAGGTGACGGTGTCAGTGATAACCTTTTAATTATCATGTTTGTTGTTGTCTCAGACTTTTAAAGTGGCAAGAATACAATTTGAGGAAGTAATGATTGTATTATTTTTACATTTAATTTATTGTATGTAGATCTGATCCGGCAATTGAGAGGGGTGGATTCATCATAATCTATAGTTGTAATGTAGCTTTATAGCAAAGTTTATTAATAGATCTTTCTCACAGCAGACATTCATACTTGCGGTTGCAGAATAGGTGTAGCGAATAACATTAAGGATGCAAGTAAGCCATGCTAGACAGCCACTTCACAATAACAGAACCTCAGTCAGATGAACATGTAAATGGAGTGCAGCAGTTAATGTTATTAGTTGATGCAAGACATTGCGTAGAGTATTGCCGAATACAAATTGTAGAATTTTAAATCCAAATTTCCCAAATATGTTTGGTGAAAATGAATTTTGAATGGCAGTAATAAATACACAAGACATATTCACACAGAAAGAAAGCAACTTCCTTCTATCATGCATGGCTCTCTGAATGCTTTTTTTCTAACATAAATAGTTTATATTAGTTGTGAATGTTTGTGGAACATATTTAATGTTTTATTTGCTTTATCCTGTACTAACATTTATGTTTACAATATAGTACATCCTTTTGGTGTTGTTATGGTGTTATAGCAGCAAATCATACTCCAATAATTTTGACATTTTCCAGTGGACTACTATCAGCTTTTCCTCTAGAAAACATTTATGATAATATATTTTGCCAACCCATCATTGTTTTTTTACGTTAAAGACTGAGGTTACAGGTTGACAACAATTTGGCAGAAGCCAAAACCACAAAATCAAAACTAAAAAAAGTGTTTTTCATAGCATACTTTCAATCAGCCATGGCCCCATTTGACCCAGTTGAGAGGTTTAGATTTAACCACTGAGGTGAACAGTAGTAAACAGTGGAGCAGGAAGACTCAGGTGAGCTAAAGACTCAGTGCTGCCCCCTGGAGTACAATCACATCTCATGCATCAATATACACACCATGTTTCCTCAGTCATTATTGGAAACAACTATGTGTTACATAACCGGGATCAACCAGCTAGCCAGTCAGTCGGTTAGTGAATTATGTCTCAACTATATTTCATGGAGAGATGATCTTCAATGCATATCTTTTCAATTAATTTCACTGGATTTGAAGATGTCCTCCCTTTTAGCTGTTGCTTTAGCCCTCTCTGTCTGAGTGAGTGCACACGTTTCTATAAGCTCTGTCTTAATCCAAAGTCTGACGGGTTGTTCTATAGCAAGCGGCAGGGGGATTTATTTGTTTCTCTTTGTGATTTCTGTGGGGTTTCTATCTCTTCTTTGCACACTGTTTTTGTTCATGGCACTGCTGTCGGCTTCTTGTGGTACTATTCTGAACAAATTAAAGCTTATTTGGACAGTTTACTGTAAAGTATCTAAAGTATACACTTACTGTACTAATTGTATAACCTTGATATGGATAAAGAAAAACTCAACACATACGCTGGACCATACATTGGCACAAACATACATATATATATTCCAATACTAACTTGACTGCACAAACAGAAAAACAAATACACATACATTCACTTTAGGTAAATAAGGTTTCAGTGAACAGTAGCCTGATATAGCTTATTCTTCTGTGCCATAAAGCTCAATTTTTGTCCAAAAACACACACAGTTCACCTCCGGGGCAGCCGAGGTGCCCTTGAGCAAAGCACATAACCCCTAAATTTAATTAGTAGCCCACACCATCTTGCTCACTAGCACACAAAATGTGTATTAGTTCACAACTGACAATATTCTCCAACAAATGTACTATTTATCCCTGTTGGAGTAACTTGTTTTAGGAATTTATTGAGACATTTCTAAAAAATTTTTAAGATTTACATTTTCATTAGTGACAAATGAGCTTTGCGACTGAGAACCACAGACAGGGTTGAAAGGATGTGAAGTACTGAGAGGCTCACTAAACTACAGTGCCCATTTTCATTGTAATAAAGGAACATGTCTCCACGTGGTTCATTTATGTGCTTTTAATTGTTTTGATGGAGGTCTATTGCACCAGACATATCAGGCTCTGGGCACACAGGCAAACCTTGTTAGTTGGACAAATAAAAGGGTGGTTGTGGTCTTTTCATGGGATTTTAAGGAAAATATACAATATTGCCAGCCTTAAGTTGTAGCTAATTTAAGTCCAATTAAAACCATTTTTGACAAGAATGTTTTTTAGATTTGTATTCATGTCTCATTTCTTTTTCCTCAATGTCCACCTCTGCTTTTGCCTCTCTCTCTTTCTCTACCTCTGTCTTTCTCTTTCCCCCCTTTACTCTTTCTAAATACAAGGTCCCAACAGAGTCCTATATGTCCCAGTTGTCTTGGCAGGACTCCCCTCTTTACACTGAAACGCAGACAGAGAAACGTCTGTCACAGCTGGAGCCACCTAGCCCTGCCCCAGGTCAGCAGCCTCTTCAGATCCTGGACCTGTGGGAGCATTACTTGGACTCGTCCACAGGAAGAAGCTATTATGTCAACAGCATCACCAAGGAGAGGTCCTGGAAACCCCCTCGCCGGTCCCGTGGACACACCACCAACAAGGTAAGGCTCATGACACAGCCGGTGTCCACTCGCTGTTACTCCTCCTAAATCTTCTTCTTATACTAAAATTCATTTACATTTGAAAAGGTGGGCAATTTCAGAGCTGGATTGAAGTTTATTTTCTCAAAGGAGAGGATAGAAAGGGGTCAGGGTGCAGAGTAAAATAGTCTGCTCATTTATATGCTCACATAGTTTGACTGTATCAGCACTAAAAGGGACCTTTTCAGCCAAAGAACTTCATAAGACCTAAGGGAGAGCACCCTGGCTTGCATATTTTCTCTTTACTGAGACATGAGGTGATGCATAGAGGGTTGCACCCGCAGTGATCACAGGACAGGTTTCCACAGCTTGAAGCTAAAGTATAGTGCACATGGCAAGACTCACTTTGGCATAGGGTCACATTGAACTTTAAGGGTTAAATATTACATAATAAGTGGGAAAGGTCATTGATATGGACAGACAGCTTATATATATATATATATATATATAGTTTGGTATTTGGGTCTATTAAATATATAAGGCTACATCTAGGAGACAGTAAGCTTCGTTAAGCACAGGAAACAGCTAGACTGGCTTTGTTCAAAGGTGACAAAATCAGCACCTCTAAAGCTTACCATTTAACACATTATATCTAATTTCCGTAACCCATGCAAAAAAACAGGTGTAAAAATGGCTGAGGCTCTGAGCAGTTGCTAGGCAACCAGCGGAGACTCCAGGAAGTTACTGCTCTCTGCCAAAAAATATTCGGGCACATAACCCACCGTAAAACGGTGCTGCTAGGTGGATTTTGTCCTGGAGTTATGAGAATAACTAACTACATATATAGAAAACTGACAAAATAACACAAACTTAAAATATAGTCAGTCTAACAATTAAACAATTAAACAATAATGCTACCTATGGGAAACTTTGTTGATCCTTTCAAAGACGTGTGGGTTTAACAATATAGTTGAGAATAGCTATGGCTATTGTTAACAGCTAAGAATGCATCTCAAGACCTTTCCTATTTCACAATCAATATATTCTTTTTTTCTTTATCTGGCAGGGCAGTCCTGTACAACCTCAGACATTACCGAGAGAAACCAACCATCTGTCATTACCACTTCCTGAAGCTGGTAATGGAACAACGCACGGGGTAAGACCACTGTACTGTAAGTTCTGTAAAATTCAGCCTCCCTGATGACACATTGTGTTATTTAACAGTCAGATTCTGAATGACCTTAGCTTATATGGTAAATGGAACACTTTTCACGTAATCACAGGATGTGTGAGTTTTTGGGATGATGAGATCAGGATGAGGTTTGCCTCGGCCATATTGACAAAATGAATGAATGTAGTTATACTTGCATAATGATGATACGTGAGGGCGTCCCCACCTGGTAGAGTATGTGCCCAATGTACAAATTCTGAGTCAAATCTAACTTTCAGCCCCCCTCTGTCCCCCCTTTCTGTCACTCTCAGCTGTCACTATATAAAAAAAACAAAAAAATAATATAAAAACAAAAAAAAGAGATGATACATGACTTAATTTGAATAACTCAGTTGCTCAGCTTCTGTTGATGTTTTCTCACCCTTTGCCAGTAACTGAACAGAGAGCAACACATACACACCCAAGAAAAGCATCTTCTTGAGCTTTGACCTGTGTTGCCTTTAAAGTGCCATATAAATAAAGCTGAATATCACACACATTTATCACCATACAGACTGATTATCTCTAACCATACAGGAGTTTCTGAGGGTGGAGATATTCCTTTGAAGTGAACTCTTACACCTCAATGTGTACTCCTGCTGTTGCTATGTATTGCAGATTTATTTTGTGTATGTTTTCTTTATTCAGTCATTTGTGTACAAGGAGGTTTGTACAGATGAGGTTGTGAGGAATGTGTTTATGACACTGTGTGCCAAGTCAGTAATTAGTCAAAGTGGTTGGTTTATATATTTTACAATCATTCATTTGGTTCTTCAGAACTGTCAAGAAGCTTTTATATTCTTAACTTATTGCACTGTCCTGTGATGTAAATAATGATTAGTATTAAATAATCATTCCTATGTGACATTTTGTAAGTGCAAACAGCTGTGCTCTGACATTAGAACGACAGACAGCACAAACCACAGTGACACAAAAAATACTTTTCTACACATTATGACATACATATAAATCTATTGTCGGCATCTGTCTGTTACCCACAGTGCGCAAAGGGTCCAGACCAGGACTGTGTTCCAGATTAAAGCAGGGAGAAATGCTGAGCGGTGGCCAAATTAAAAAGGGGATTACATCTTTCTAGTTGCCCCATCATTTACTGACTAACTCGCTGCCTCACTTATTTATTTATTAACTGCCCCTGACACACATTTCCTCTCTCCAATGGGGTTTTTGTTGGGCTAATCCCTGAAGGGAATAACAAGGTAATGCCTCTTGATCTGATGCAGATGAGCAGAAGCCATTAGAGCCACACAGAGGGAGACAGAGGGCTCTTTTAAATCCAAAACATTACAAAACATTGCTAAATTTAAACCACTCACTGAAACTTCACATCAGCCTCCTGGACCTCACAAATGCTATAATAGTCAAACATCCACTGTTTCATTCATTGCACCTTTTTTGTGTTTATACACTCCGATTGAGGAAGTACATCTGTTGTTTCAGACGTAAGGTTTTCTGAAGAGAATTATTGCAACAGCCGCCAGTGACTGAAATTGACCCATCCACAGAATCAATGACGACACCTAAGCTGTAAAGTGACGCGAGCTGCGTGATCCAGATTGTTAGAGATAAGCATTTTGCATCTCAAGGTTGCGTTGCCTCAATGTTGCGTCAGTGTTTCAAATTTAATGTTGCTCATCAAAAATATTCCCACATGATCAAAGCAGTGATTCCCCCATCAAGTCAGTTTGAGATGCATTCTGTTGACCTATATGTGTCATTTTTTATTCTGTGCTACATGTGTTACCAAACAGGAACTTCACCAATGATATATAATGCATACTGAATGCCACACGAGTTAATGGCCCAGGTGTTAAAACCTGAGTGACCCATATAACTTGTTTGCACACAGTGTTCTCTAGATTTTATTTTTGAAAACCATTTTACCCGTAGCACATTGGCTCCTTCCTGTGCTTTTTGAACTCAGGTATTCACACAAAGTGAATAAGTATAATTACTATAAGACATAGTGTTCCTGGAATTATACATTTTTAGGCCCGGCCCCTTTTATTCATTAGGATTGGTCAAGTTTTGTTTTGTATTACTACTATTTGGAACATTTAATGACATTTCTATCATTATCTGTTAATTTTAGATGTCTATTTTAACCTCTCTGCTCGCCTCCTCTCTAGTTTCCACACACACTCAACAGCTGGAGGTGTTATTAAGGTGTTAAACTGACTCATCTTGGTGGAGGTGGGTGTTGAGGAGTCGTACTGGTTATTGTGATTGTGGTGATTGTAAATATATGAAGAGGAGCCTCACCAAATTGTAATCCTATTTTTGCATTTTATTTTCCTCCAAAATACAAGTAGGCTATGTGGATATTTTTCTTTTACATTTTCTATTTCACTGGGTCAAACTACCTAACAAAAAGTAGTTAAAGTGAGTTTAAAATGCTGCCTACTCGCTAAGGTATCAGTAATAAAAATGCAGTAACATAACAATCTGGGAGCATGTAAGGTCCAATTCCTGTCATTGTGAGTTATTATAAAGGCTGTTATTATAAAGGCTGAAGCTGGACTTGTAATGAACTATGTTAACAATGTGGTATTATTACGTTTACTGAAGTACTTTGCCTGCACACTTGCAAACAAAAGCTGTTGGACTGTGGTTGATGTGGCAATGTTAGCAACGTTCTGGTGTGATTATTCTGAGCTACTTTACATGAGACATGACTGTACCAACTGATAAAGCCAGCTTCCCTCTAGAATAGGGAAGTAGAGGCAGGCTGCGACAAAAGGGAGAGAGATGAATGTTTTTTATATTTTGACACTCAGACAAAAAGTGTCATGACGTGAGACGACAGACAGCCGAGGACTTAAACAAGGACTAGAGTTGGCCTGGATTGTATAACTTGTTGATCAGTAATAATGAGCACTTATGCTGTGAGTTCATTTTCATTTCTTACACATTATATACTTTGTGTTGTTGTTTTCATTCCATATCATTATTGGTGTGTAATTTCATATGTTAAATGTTCTGCCTTTTAAATGGAAATCTATTTCATTTGATTGATGTGCTAATATAGTTTACTCACTTAGGCTTTGTCTCAACAAGTTGATATGACTGGATTTCTGTGGACATGTGTGATTCAGTTCAGTAACTTAAAATCAGCATGCTTGACTAAAACCAGTACTATGCAGTGTGTGTTTCGGTATTACTGAACTAACGGCAGCAACTGCCTCTGATTAACTTCAGTTGAATACAGGCACAAGTGTATGTGTGTCTGTCTGTGAACCTCTGCGCTGTGGTGGTGAATCAAATAGCATTTTTAGCCATCAGGATGTAAACGGAGCAGAAGAGTATAGTTTTGTTGTCAGCGGCTATGCTAGCCCAGGCTTCAAGGTTGATCTTAACTGAACACATTTGTCAGCATCCTGTTTTTACACGCTGGTGTCAAATTTACCCAAATTGCTGCCATTTTGTATCAATTTGTTTGTCGCACAGATACTGACGTCTAGTTTTCAGAAAGTTAAATGCTCTTTGATCTTTTTTGCAGTTCAATACAGAAAATGGTACTTCATTGAAAGTGGTATTTCGTAGTTTTAAAATAAAAGGAAATATCAATAGTAACTGTATCAGTGTTTCCGGTCTTTTGTCTCTCTTTCTCTCTAGCTGTCACCTGATTTTCTCTTGGGGGGCCACCAGAGGAATACTGACGGTGGTTGGCAGATGAAACAGGTAAAACCCTACCTGCTGCACTTTTTCATAGCCAGGAGGAATCTAAAGCTATTTCACTTTGACTTACACCTTGTAAAAAAAACTCCTGACAAGGAGTAAAGTTGAAGATGAGCACCCTTTATCAATTTTGCGTACTCTTCCTACACAACAGAATACATTTGCTAAACAAAACGGGACATCATACTATTCTGGTGGCGAAGTCTGCCACCTTGACTTGTCAGTATTAACTACCATTAACTGTATGTCTGTACAAAAATATATATATATAGATTACTTGGACTGCCTATTCTTTTTAAAGCGTTTAGCTGACAACCCTTTTCTTGTTTTTCTGCTCGCATGCCTGACTGGGAAGGTAATCCTAAGTGTTTTATCAGCACTTAAAGGCCTTTTGATGGAGGGTATTTTCCTCATGAAAATCAATGAACTTGAGTCCTTACATTAGCAAAAACTGCATCTCCACTGTATTACTGTAGAATACATTAAAGTAATGCCAGCTATGCTCTTTAGATTCTCAGAGATCAGCATTTATGCATATTAAGGTGGTGAAATAGCAAATCATGGTGTAAAAAGAAAAAGGCGGTTACCCAAGCAATTCTTACTGCAACATGTTGCATCACAGTGGGGTGTGGGTGCGCTTGGTTTAAAGCCCTTTTAAAGGCCTCCTCTCCAGAGCAGATTTAGTGCTAATCCTCCTTGCATGAAAAGATGGCAAACATTAAGAAGGATATTTAGCCTGATTGTTGTAACTAGGTTACAGGGATTGGGAAAGGTACTTAATTATGGCTGTTGCTGAATGAAAACTTTAAATTGTGTGAATTCTGTGTGATCATGCACACGTATATTTATGTGCGGGACTGTAAGCATATATATATTTCATGCATCGCTGTCTTTCTTCCTGTGAAGTAAAGCAAACAATTTGAACTTCTCAAGGAAACTGCTGTTTGTCCACATTTGTCAGTGTGTAAAGGCTTGTCGTCAGTATTGTTTCTCCGAGGGCTACAATGCCTCAGTTCATATTTGCAATTCAAACATGTAAATGAAGTTATAATGTAGCATTGTTGCATTGTTGCATTGTTGCATTGTTTCATAATGGCCACCAATGTATGATACTGAGAGCTGAAAAAGAAAATAAAACTTGCTGAAGTACTGACACTGAGGCAGTGTGGTTGACCAAAGTCAGTGAGGTTGCATTGACATTTGCAAGCCAGCATTCAGTGCCATTACTGTGGCACTTTCTTATCTAAACTAATTATTTCAACCCTTTTTTGACCTTGAGCAAAGGTCTTCATCTTGGGCATAACATGGAATGAAAAGGTGAAAGAGCATATGGGAATAAAAGCTGCAATGAGGACAAATTATTGCCTGTGGTGGAAGACTATTACTACAGACAAATCAAAAGTATAGTGCAAATGGAATAGTCAATATCTTCCTTGAAGTTTTGCATGCTTGCTTGAATTGTATTCCTGTGCAAGTGCAAAGTAAATGATGTCACATAAAATGTGTTACCCAAAGTTGCTCCCATAGGAAATTGCAACTGCATGACTAAGACCCTGACCTTTATGTTGCTCTTTACTTTTACTTGTTTGTGGTTTTAATTGTTTAGGAGTTTATGCTCATTGTACTGTTGCACTCATTCAAGGTTGCTCTAGGCAAAAGCATCAGCTAAATACTAAAATATACTGTAAATATAATATAAAGAAAAAGCTTCTACTGAAGTCTCCTATTCAGAAGAAAACAAACACATATCAGATCTCACTTTAAAATGTATCTACATGACGACGTAAAAATACAATGGGAGCTGATTGTATTCATTTTTTAGTTCCCACACAATAAATCAGTAATTTCCCTTTCCCTTGTTTGTCTGTTCCACCTTTTGCCACTGACCCAAACATTTGACCCCGACCTTTAAACCCCCGTGAAGAGCATGCAGCGTGCCGCCTCCTCTGACACCCTGAGCATGATGGCGTTCAACAATGCCGAAGCCCAGTTCCATAACTCTGGCCCCCTGCATGATGTCAAGCAGCAGCTCAGCCACTCCCAATCTATGACCCTGCCTGAGAACGGCAAGGTATTCACCTCCAGAGCATGGACACACAAGCTCATAAATTGTGTGTAGAGTATCTAACAGACATGCAGAGAAGAGGAAATGCACATATACTCCAACAGACACTTTTCACATGACACTGGACATATGCATATATACACATTAAAACAAAAGAACACAGCTGATAATGATCACTTCCTGTCTTTCAGCTGGTCCACCAGTGCAAAGATTACACCTGTAATGTGACCAACATTGTTGTGGAGCCTCCGTCTCCCCAAAGCTCTCCTGACAATGGCGATGGCTGCACACCGGTGAGAAAACACTGCTTTTTACTTTTGAACTAAAAATACCTGACCATACTACTAAAACCATCACACCGAGGGTTAATTATACAACCAGCCTTTTTAATGGACTTGAACGAACAGACTGTTACCCCAACATACCAGTAAAAAAACAACGCAGTGGTCATAAAGCTCTGTTAGCTCTGGCTTTCTACTGACTACTATCCAGTTATCCAAAATAAGGATTTTACAGAATTCATGTGATTTTCTGAGTTCATTCAAAACCATTTTTTAAGTTAAAAGAAAATTGAGAAAACTGACCACTCTGAGATCTTTGTATTAATCTGAGTTTTTTAATGTAATTTTTATATTCTTTGAACATGACAAACATAGGATTATCTCTATGATCTCTCTCTGTTCTCTCTTTGGAATCGGTCTTCCTTCTTTTCCTTAGTTTGTTCCTCTCTGTTTTTATATACTGTACTCAAAACTTAGAACTCTGTAGTTAGTATTAATTCTGTTCTCTCGCACCTTAAACGGGGCCACACCGCAGTGGGAGATTTTAGAGCAGCTCCCCTCCTGCTATTTTTTTGAATGATGCAACAGTCAAGTTAAATGAGTTCGCTCAGGATGCAGTATATTACACAGAGGAAAAGCCCTCTGCTGTACTTTACTGTTAATATTTTAACTTCTCCTCACATACTCTTATTATTAAAGCCATACTTGCCTTCTCTGAGTGATGACAGTTTACATATTAGTGCTTGAATATCGCAGTTTTTTTTTTTAATGGACCCTTTTAATGTGTTCTTAGGAGTTGGAGAAAGCCGGCCTCTTGAACAAGACAAAAATTGCAGAAGGAGGCCGGAAACTGAGGTGAGGCGTCATGAGGCTGCTCCTATTAAAGTTACATTAGATTGAGTCTGATTGTATGAATATTGTGTTTGAATAAATGATGGTAAATATGATTTGCTGGGCTGAATCTTCTCTGAACCAGTATATGTGTGTTTGTTGGGTTGCAGGAAAAATTGGAGCCCTTCCTGGGTCGTGCTGGTCGGGAACAGTTTGGTTTTCTTCAAAGATCCTAAATCACAGACGCCTTCTAGCTGGGTAAAAGCTCAGACCAGCACATACTGTTTTTCAAAAACATAAATTAGGTTGTTGTTTGTCTGTATATAATAAAAAAGACTGAGTGAAAATCATTACATTAAGCAAATTTCTTGATTTTAAAATCAGCCAACTTTGAGTCACTTTGTTAGTGCAGATGTCTTTTTTAGATGTTTTTTTACATGGTGGATTTCTTAAATCAAACATTGTGAAGTAACTTTTGAAGTCATCTGACTCTGATCTGTTGCACAAAGATCATAAGCTTTTATCATTTTCCTCTTCATGGGTCTTTGCAGTAAAATGACACACATCAACTCCTCTGTTCATAAAAGAGGTCACACAAACCTGTTGCAGGTGTTGTGTGTGAAAGTTGGTCATAATGTAAATGTCAGTCAAAAAGGGCAAAAAGTGGTCACACCTAAACTCCATTCTTAGAAACATATGTGAGTTGATTCAGCCAACGAAACGAAGTGTTGAGTAAATAGAACAAAGCTTTAATTATTTTGTGTGTGTACCTGTAGAAACCAGGAAACAGTCGCCCTGAGAGCAGTGTGGATTTAAGAGGAGCGCAGCTTCACTGGGCCAATGAACTGTCCAGCAAGAAGAACGTATTCAAGGTAATCTTCAATCACAGAATATAAACAAACTGTTGTGTGTGTGTTAGACGTGAGCATAAAATGTTCCGTGACTCTGATTTTCATTTGAACAGTTGCTCTGAGCTGATGTACAGTGACAACAATGTCACATCAGGTTAACAGCAAAACATAGAATCATACTTCTGTCAGTAAAGGGTCACTTATCAGTGAGGGAAGTGAGAGTAGGAAGCTTTTTTCACCCGGTCACTCTATAGTGACCCTAGGTGAGGAGGAGGAAGCAGAACAAATTACATTTCCATTGAAATGTGGCAGGTTTAAATGTAGGTGAGAATGCTGTTTTTAAAAAGAAGAAACGTCCAGATGTGTCAGCTTAACACATGACAACTTTTGTTGAAACTAAAATTAAACTAAAATGAAAAAAATACATCCAACATTAATGTGTTTTGTAAATGTGTGTACCGTAGCTGAGGACGGTGACAGGAAACGAGTTCCTGCTGCAGTCGGAGACAGACTCTCTGATCAAAGAGTGGTACACCACCATCCAGAATGTCATCGACAGACTGGTGAGTCACAAAACACACAGAGTTGTACTTTCAATGTACCACTTCTCTATTAGTGGCTTCCCTTTGGATCATACCCTCAGTATGTAAGGTTGATGTTCTGCCTTTCATTGAATATTAAACCCACAGTTATCCACAACCTTGAACTCCTTCCTGTCTTATTCTTTTTACCTTTTTAGTTTCTTTTAGATTTAGTTTTCAAAATGTCCCACGTTGTACCCTGGTTACAAATATTTAATTACCAAATTGAAGGGATCCATATCAAAACTATAACTCGCACTAATCGATATTAACAATTAATATGGATACATTAAGAGTGTCAAATGTATGTATGTGTATGTGTTATGTGCATGTAGTAATGACTCTGTACTTCCCCTCAGCTCTACATTACAGCTTCTTAGTGTATTTTACCTCATTATTTTGTTTGGTTCAATCTCACAGTTCTTATAAACATAGGCATCCACTTTCTGTAAAAAACAAACTTATAAAACCCACTAGCCAGATATTTTTTTGGGTACTAAAAGAGAATGAATATTAGACTGTGAATAAACTGTTAGACTTTGAATGGATTCTTAACAAAACAGTTTAAGATCAAATTGGCAAATGTATTGTAATTTTTTAAACTCTCATGTATTTATGATGAGCTCTAAATTAAAGCATCATTTTGTTTTCCTACATAAATTACCAGCTGTCTTTTTCTTTGATGCAATGTCTTTAGAGTCTCCCTCCACTCGAAAATTGGTTCTTCTTGTTCCGGATTTTTGCCCTTGACTGTGCAGAATGATGTATGTGTAGAGTTTGACACCAGAAGGATGTTTTCACATTCATTTGCTGACAATGGAAGTTTCTATCTGTTCACTGAAAATCTGATTTTAAGGGTCAAGGCTACAAGTATGATTTGTGATAACACAAATAGTTCAGAAGTCAATGAGGAAGTGTGATGTAGAAACTTGAAGCCTCTAGTGCACATACACTGAGAACTGATTTTACAGTGAAGTAGGAGACATCTTGTGTCCAGCAGGAAAACTTCAGAAATAAAGACCAAATTGCATATTCACAGATTCTGGAATTTTTAATGAGAAGGAGTAGATTCATTTTAATGAATGGAAATATTTGCAGAAAAAACATCAGAAACACCTTTCCAAGCAAATAATTTGTAAAAATGTCTTAATACAAGTCTGGAGGGGATCTTTAAACTTCTGTGTAATGTTTGTATATGATGCAGTTAACACAGTGAGCACTGTTTCACTCTGCCTGCCTTCCAGGACCGCGAGAACCCGTTAGACAACGTCCTTCTGTATTCTCTGAGGCGAGCTGGCAGCGTGGAGATGCTGGACCACAGTGGAGACGAGGATGAGAGGAGAACGTCGCGTAAGTCACCACATGATTCCTCTCAACGCTCCATCCTGACCTCCTTCCTTCACACAACGCTGTCACATAAAACCGTCCCTGCTCGACATCTCACTTTACTGACAACCTCTCACTCAGTCATCCTCATCATCATCATCACTCTTTTTCTCTAAACTTCCATGCAGGGTTCTTACATCCCTCCATCCTCTCCTCCATCCTCTCCTCCATCCAGCCCACTTATATTTTCACACGGCCCCCGTGGCAAATAATCCCCCCGTCAGTCCTGTCTCACCTCCGCCGCCGTCCGGCCCTCCCGCTTTTCATCCTCACCACCATCCCCTCTCATCTGCTCTCCTGCCCCGCACTGACCTCCTCCTCCTCTTCCTCCTTATCTTCTTCCACCTCCTCCTTTCCTTCCTCTGCAGTCCCTCGCTCGTCCTCCAACCTGGAGAACACCGAGAGGAAGAGAGTGAAGACCCGACTGAAGAAGCTGATCCTAAAGAGACCTCCTTTGCAGGCGCTGCAGGAAAAAGGGCTCATTAAAGGTGAGATTTCTTTTTGAAGTTTTACACTATTAGAATGCAAGTATCCTTTATTCAGCTGTATGCAGTGCAGTGGTGAATGATGGAAGTATGTGTTCTCTTTAGCTCTTTAGTTTTTAATATTACAAGACCACACTTCTACAGCTAAAACTATCCACTCGACTTTTGTTGGGAAGTTGAAGATATTTTGAGCTGAGCTACATCACAGTTGATGGCTGGCAGGAAATCTCAGTATTTAACCTTCAGCGATGCCACATCCCCTAGTGAATGTGCGTTGCAATCCTCCTTGCCTGTTTAATAAGAGCTTCCCCAAAATGACAACATTTTTCACGCTGCTTGCCTGCTGATTACAACACTGTTATAACATCTTACGGATCATTTTTTATGCTGAAACAATCCTTTGTTTTTGCTTATTCCCATATCCTAAGTAAAATATGTTTGTTTGTTTTTTTATTTAAATAAAGAAACAAATTGAGGGAAAAACCTGAATAAATGAGTGGAGAAAAACAATGAGGGCACAATGGACCACTGAATGGTTAGTGTTTATATGTTGCGGCCTTCACAGTCACCAGATCTCAACACAATTGAACACTTATGGGAGATTTTGGTTCGATGTGTCCGACCGCACTCTTTTGGCCACCTCCAATAACAAATGAAAATGAGGGAATGTTTTTTTAAAGAATGCTGTTTATCCCTTCGGTAGAGTTCCGTGTCTTGTGCTACATTCACACTGCAGGCACATAACAAATCACATTCTTACTGAGAGTCTTGATGTTGTTTTTTTCTTTAAATGTATCACTCATCAAATTTCTTTTACTAATTTCAATACCAAAATCTTTTTCCTTTTTTAACTGTATTACCACACTTCTATATTGAGTCTTTCTGAAAATCACTACTGGAGAAAAAGATAAAAGTTCTAGAAACAAAACCTTTTTTTTGATTGCAAGCAGTAGAGAGGTGACAGAAAGAGAAAAAGAAAGACATGGTTCCTGGCCAGATTCAAATCGGGGATGTTGCATTTACATGGTCAGCATCTTAGGCCTCAAGTTCACCAGGACGTTTCCTGAACCTCATTTTAACAAAGATAACAAACAATTGTTTGGTTTGCATTGCAAAGCTACAGCTCCCTTAAAGTTCTGAAGTGTAACCTCAACTACATCCTCATCCACTAGGAGGCGTAACATTCTGCCTGTCATTAGAAGTGAAGAAGCTGATGATGACTGATACAAATACTTTCCCAGCTATTTTGAAAGTATGATTGAAAATAGAAATGTTTGTTTGTGTGGTTAATTATGATTGAACTGATTCTATTTTTTTGATGACACAAGTTCATCACAGTTCTTGTTAAAGATAACACAGTCTGATCATACAGCAGCATAATGGAAGCATACTGTGAAGTAAAGGGTTACATATGATTTTTTTTCTCCCTATAGTATATACAGTAACATATATGAGTTGTATTGCATCATCAAGGGTGAGCTTACATCTCTGCTGGCAACATGGAGGTTTTTCTCCCATAGTGAACACTAAATGTATCACTAGATTAACTTGAGCTTGTAGCTCTTACATCATATCTTGGCACAGTTATTTGAGAAAAAAACTTCTGAACCGACATAAAAAGCGTGTGTGTTTGTGTCCGTCTGTCATCACCCTTCAGATCAGGTGTTTGGCTGTCGTCTGGAGATGCTCTGTGAGCGAGAGAAGAGCACCGTCCCTCGCTTCGTCAGACTTTGTACTGAGGCTGTGGAGAAGAGAGGTACAGTTGCTGCAAAACACACAGCCTGTTAATGTGATTTTTAGCATAGAGCGGACACATGAGAAAAACACCCTCAATCCTGTTTTGAGCATCAGTCACTTGACGGCAGTTCTGCCCCCATTGTCTGCGATGTGAATCATCCAACACAAATTTACTGAGAAATGTTTATGATTGTCCGACAGAGAACTGAAATGCACAGAAAAGAAGTCATGACAGCTGCCAGCTAGAGAGAGATCTAAATGAGAGAAAATTGAGTTGTTTGGGGAACTGTTTAGAAACAATGCTGCAAATAAATATTTAATACGAAAAAAAAAAAAAATCAGTGTTTTGATCACAAGAGCTTTAAAAACCTGGGTTTGATGAATTAAATATTTCTAGGGAGCTGTTTCAGATTGAGACATTTATGTTCGAGGCTGTGACAGACTGAAACACTTCTGGAAAAAGAGAAAGAGGAACTATTTTACTAATTCTCATAGTAAAAGTATATAATGATTTCAGAAGAAATACATACCAGTAAACCAGTAAAGGACAAGTAAACTTTTAGCATTTCTGCTCATAAAATGACAATTAATTGATTATCAAAATGGATGCAGATTGATTTTCTTTTTCAATTTTGATTAATTGACTAATCATTTCAGCTCTCATACAGATTATGAAGCACTTACAAACAGATTTGAGATTTCAGGGCCCATACAAGTTAAATTAACATAACTTGGCAACAACAACAGAATAAAAGATAATCAACTAATATTAACAATTCTCCTACATAGCTGCTGCAGAGTTGCTGTATGTTTAATAGCGGTTCCATGATGCATTAAATGCCAGTCAGTGGCTCCTTGTGACTGTGACACTGTCAGAGCTCTGAGGATATGAACAATCAATATATGACTTGTTCTTCTGACACCTAGTGTGTAAATAGCAGAAATTCCTTGTCATAAGAAAACTTTGTAGGGACACCAAGAAACACACTAAATGTTAAGAGGAAGTTCAAAACTACTCACAAGGTGTCTAAAAGTGTGAAAATGTGCTTTGCTTTATTCACGTTTGTGGGCACGCATGAAACAAACTTCTTAAGCACATTCTATTATTGATGTGCAGAAAATGTGACCAGCAAAACAATTTTATCAGCACAGACTGTCTTAAAATCTGAGAAAACAATTTGTATCTTGCACTCAGTTGTGTTTTAAATAATGTGTCAGTTTGGTTTTGAGTCTAACCTCCTTACGTACACCAGTGGAGTTCCCCTGATCTAACCAACTCTGTGTGGTATGTTGCAGGACTGGACACTGACGGCATCTACAGAGTGTCAGGGAACCTGGCAGTCATTCAGAAACTACGCTTCCTGGTGAACCACGGTGAGGATGAAGGGGAGGGGGAAAACTGAATGTTTAATTTAGCCTCTGATAATGAATGAAAACTGAGAGAAAAATGTTGGGGGAGGAGAGAAGAGGTGGCAGGTTGAAGTTGATTTTTCCTGCATTTGTCAGAAATTGAATTTTATCTCCCTATTTTTTCTGTCAAGATGAATGTCATCTGATGCTGTTTTGTTTACTCTGATTACATATTATATTGTATAAACACAACACACACTCACCTGCTTGAAACCTGTGGTTGTCCCACTACATGACATCCTTTTGTGAAACCAGGCGCTGAAGGAAAGCCGACTAACTGTTCAATTTTTGCAGAGCGAGCGGTGACCACTGACGGCCGTTACATGTTCCCAGCGGAGTTGGTACAAGGTAGATTCAGAAGTGATGAGGAGAACAGTCGCTCTCACGTGTTACTCGGCCTGCTTGTTTTGTGCATTGTGTGTTGCATAATGTGAACACCTTAATCAAAAACTCCTCAAAACGCCCACCCACAGACTGACACGCAGAGCTGAGTTTCAGTGCAGACGTGCACTGAACAGTCTGGTGCTTGTGCTACCATTTCCAGAATGTATGTGTGTCCCTTAGGCTTTTCTGCTTTAAGTTTTCTGATGTAATAACACGCAGCAGGTTGTACAGAGAGCTCTCACACAGTCCATGGCTGCCACCAAGTGGATGAAGCAGAGAATCAGCTGCTTGTGTACTGTGATGTGCTCTAATCCCACAGTATTATCTCACTGACTAATGTTTCTCATCATTAGATACTTGTTTGTGTCATAAATATTAAAAGTCTTGACGTTGAGGTCAAATTATTTTATATTATTTTTTTTGTTCCCTGTGGTTCTTCCATTTAAGAAGCATTGGTGTGTGATGTGTGCTTTATATGTGTTTGTGCTTCTGTGTCTTACTTTTACAGACCATTTCTATCTCCTTCCTGCAGCTACAAGCCTTCATGTTATGCTTTAACACTGACGTGAATTCACACTCTCTTCTGTTCATGTTCTTCACTAAACCATACTGTGACTGTAACTCCACTTGTGTACCTCTTGTCTTTGTCGCTCTCGTTCATATTGCCTTGCCTTTTGTTCACTGTCTGTATGAATTTCTCTCTCATCCTCTCCTTCCCTCCCTCCTCCTCCCTCCTCCCTGTTTTTCAGAGGAGAAGCTGAATTTGGACGAGAGTGATTGGGACGACATTCATGTCATCACAGGAGCTTTGAAACTTTTCTTTCGCGAGCTTCCCGAGCCCCTGGTGCCCTTCGGCTTCTTCACTGACATCGTGGAGACAGTCAGTGAGTGACCTCTACTGTATATACCATCCCACCTTAATGTTGGGTACTTGAATGAAGTTTGTACGAAATAAAAGCTAAATTCTCATTAAGTCTGTATATTTGAGGTGAGACATTTTTATAGGACATATTTTTTCCAAGTATTTTTTGGGGCATTTATTGCCTTTTATTTGGTAGTGTGTAGTGGAAAGCAGACAGGATATGAGACAAAAGAGAGAGAGGAGGGGTTATATGCATGAAAGTCCCTTGGTTGTGTTAAAGTTGCCGATGTTGCAATCACATGACCAACGTCTTAAAACCTCTACGCCGCCAGAATGGCTGCGTAGGATCCTTTTTAACCTCACCTTATTATTTATCCTCTGATGTGCTTTTATTTTGAACACTCACAACACTGCTGTGGTTTTAATGAGTCAAAACCAGGACAGTCTTGGTTAGAGAGTTCAACCCCCTCTTTACTTGGGCACTTTCACACTTTGTCAAGTTGTGGTGGAAGTAATTTTCTTCATTATAGAATATAGTGTATTTACAGCACTTTTTTTCCACCTCTAGAAAATGTTGCACAACACCACATATATCATGAAAGATATATGGACACAGGAAAATAAAATGGCGCTTCCCAAAAAGAAAATTGCATGAATTCCAAGGCGAGAGAAGAGTAATTACATACTGACAAAACTGAAATTTATTGAGCAGTATTGAAAATGAACTGATGGTTTTACTGCAAAAAAAAATCCTCACATTTTAGCTGGATATTCTCACACAAATCCCGTAAGTGTCAACTCATGGAAATTTTATATTTGAATCATATTCAAATAATTTAAAGGATGAGGCTGGCATTATTCTATGTTTTCTTTTTGTCAACAAACTCCATGAAAATACCAAAACCAACAATCTGTTAGTTCATCTTTGACTGTGTTTCTTTGACTTCCCTGCCCTCTCATTCCCACTGTTAAAAACAGACCTTTAATATATAGTTGAATTTCTTAAAAGCCTATTCACAGCTGGCCATTGTAGGTTAAGCAAAGGTGACTCAAAAAGAAGTACTAGTAGAAGGACTATTTTCAGCTGCGGATGAATGCTCAGTATTTACGGCAGCAGGATGGGGAATATGGAATTGACTCAAAATTGTCAAGCAGTATGGTTCAGTTGTGTTTTTAATAGTATATTGCAGTGAGGAATATAATCAGGCTCACATACAACACTTGTTAGTAGGATCAAGTCACTGATTATGGTTTTGATTATGGGGTTTGTTGACAGTAAAAAAAAAAGTATTTAAAATTCCAAATTAAATAATATCACTAAACTTTAACTGTGTTTTTCATCAATTCATTTGCATGAAATTCTGTGATAAAGCAGTGTATCATAATATCCTTTACTTATCCTAAAACAGTAGATAATCTGGCATCTTACATTCAGTAAGAAAACTTGCATATTAAGAAAAAATTATAATGAATGTAAATGCATTCTTGGTATGAAACCCCTGTTTCTTATCAATCAGTTGGACTTGTTTGCACGTGTGAGCACAGGGAGGGATCATCAGTTTACTGTTAATCAAACCACAGTGCTGATAGCTGCATGCTGCTGTATAAGATTAGATAGTGGATGCTAACAGAGTGGATGTCAATCAGGTTTCCGATGCTAATAAAGTAGATGAAATGGCATGCAAATTACGATATTTTATTGTGAACTGACATGTCTTGCTCTGTGTTGCAGAGATGTCCGATTACATGGATAAAGTGGATCGTTTGAAGTGTCTGGTGCTCAACATGCCTCCTCCGAACCATGACACACTGCAGTTCATGTGTCGCCATCTCAAACGGTGAGAGGGCGAGAGTAAAACCACACACAGTACATCTCAGCTCATGTGTTTGTCTTCATCTCTGCTTGTTTAAATTTGTCTGCACTGGAACAGCCACATTTCATAATGCAGAATATTCCCTCGGGACATTTCGGCACGAAGGAGTGAACCAGATGCCCTTGTCGGAAAATAAAATCTCCTCCTCATAACTTTTCCTTTTAAATCTGACCACAAGAGGGGGCAGTTTCCTTGTCGTTCTCAGTAATTTTCTGTCAGGGATTCTTTGGCCACGGCTCTCAAAGTATGCCAGTGCTGCACCAGGATCACACTGTTGTTAAGTTTGGGTCCCTGTGAAGATGAAAAGGCTGGAGGAAGATGAATGGTGTACAATGTTCTGCAAGCCAGTTCCTTTTACAGTACATAAAATGTGTGTTTTTTACCGCCTATGGTTTTTCCTTCCACTACAGGGGTGAGCGTTCGTGTTCTGAGGCCGATGTTTGTGCCAGGGTGTGGTGGGCCCCATGAATTTGTCAACTCTGTGTCTTTCTCTCATTTTCTACCCGCTGTCATTCCTTTCCCCCCTCGTTCTGTTTCTCATTTATTATCTCCCTGCCCAATCACCCCCGTCCCTTCCTCTCTTGCTTGCTTCCTACCTTTGTTTCCTTACTTCCTCTTCCTTCTCTTCATTCTCTTCTTCATATTTTCCCTTTCCTCTTCCTCTCTTCTTCCTCCTTCTTTCCATCCCTTTCTCCTTTTTTCCTCCCTCCTCCTCCTCCTGCCGCCTTCCCCCCGCTCTTCTCCCTGACTCGAAGGTCCCATGGGAGCCTTGTGGTTCGTCTGCTGGAAGGCATACCAACACCACCGCCGCCACCACTGGAACCTCTCTCTTTTCTCTCTCTTCGCCTTCTCCCTCGCTCGCTCCTTTTTTCCCTCTTCCCTCTCCTCTCTCTCTTTTTTCCTCCTCTCTTTTTAATGTGGAAGTTTTGAGCAATTGCTGGCTGCTTCTGTGGCTTGGTGGGAATGGCATTTTTAGAAGAATGCCTCATGCTGTGGCTTAAACCCATTCCTGAGTCCCCCCAGTCACACACACACTCAAACACACCAACATAGGTGGATTTAGACACTTATGTGCACAAATCTGGATTGTAGAAAGCAGATACATGGACATGAACATGCATGCAAAAACAAGATGTCACTGGTGGATGTACAAACACATGTAGTTACGGTTCTGAGTTTGTAAGATGCCACATACGACCACAAGCATGAAGCTGTACGGTTATCTATATGCCTGCAATCCCAAAGATTAATTCAAACAAGATTAAGAGTCTGCAGCCATGCTCGCAGATCTAGGCTGTACTAGACCGCAGAGCTTTGAGCTATATGCTAAAGTCAGCATGCTAACATGTGCACATTGACATGCTGATGTTCAGCAGGTTTAACGTTTATCGTGTTCACCATCGTAGTTTAGTGTGTTAGCATTCTAACATTCAGCACTAAACATAATTTACAGCTGAGACTGATGGTGTCTGATGTCTTTATTTTTGCATGTAGTTGGTCATAAACCAAAGTGCCGGACAAAACTTTTGACCTGATGATGGCTGTAGCTGAAAAGATAACTTGTTCTTACAATTTATTACAATATATCCTGAGGGGGAATGTGTGTACCAAATTTCATGCCAATCCATCCAAAAGTCACTCAAAAAACCCACAAATGTTAACATCATGGTGGAAATGTCAGAGGATCACAAAAATCATCAGGATACATCATCTGAAGACCATTCATGTCGGTGCAAAATTTCATGGCAATCCATCAAATACTTGCTTAGATATTTCAATCTGGGCCAAAGTGTGGACCGACATTATCATCCCTTAAACCATCTTGCTAGTGTAAAATTTAAATCCACAAGCTGCCTCCTTTAATCCTTTATTTTCAGACCCATTTTTGTTGTTTTGGGTTTTTTTTGTTGATATTTTAGACAATATTAACCCATCTTTTTCTCTGTGTGTCTGTCCTGTCCTTCTACAGAGTGTTGGAGTATTCGGACACCAACCGAATGACCACCCAGAACATAGGTATTGTGTTCGGGCCGACCCTGATGCGCCCGGAGCGGGACAATGGCAACATGGCGGTGAATATGGTTTACCAGAATCAAGCGGTGGAGCTCATCCTCAGCGAATTTGACCACATCTTTGGAACAAGAGGCCCCTCTTGATCTTTTCGGACAGAAGGGGTTCAAAAAGCTCCTCCAGATCAGATGAAAGAACAAGTAGTGCAGCGTTTGTCCTCCTCGCCTGTTGACTCATGTGGTGTAAAATGGATTTCACATCAAAAGATAATTATGGGGTAGAAAGAACCAGGACAGAAAGCTGCTAATCATGACATCTGGCCTCCATATAAAGCCATGTTAAAACAATAATAGTAAAACAAACCAATTTTAGCTGCAATACTTGTGTCTTTGACTGCAGATGTGGAGCTCAGCCCCGGTGTTCTTTACGGCTGGAACAGACGCCTCCTTGTCACTTTTCCTTGATGTTTCAGACTTTATCAGGATAAATAAAAGCCATAAAAGTGATAAATCTCCTCCAGCCGGTCCAGCTAGCTGAGTATTAATCAGTGATTTATCAAGGAAGGATGTGTCTTAACGTAGCACTGAAGCAAAACTTAGCAGAACCATCTCACTGTGAAAACATGCACCAGCACCTCTTGCAGCCGGGATGGACAGACCCCCACCTGCAGCGCAAAGCATGAATATACTGTAAAATATGCAAACAAACAGGAAGCAAGCTGGGCGTGTAAGTGTGGCCACATCTCTGCTGAAGTTATACAGTGTTTAGATTAAGAGTTTTTAGGTTTATTTCATACTTCAGAGGGAACTCTTTATAGATAAAAGCATAATTTCAGTGATGAGATGAATGTGCCAAGAGGGAAGCAAATGTTCCTTTGTACCAAATAGTAGGTAGTAGTTTGTGGACCTTCAGAGCTTCCTTCATTGTACAAATTTGTCTTCTCTTTTTGATTAGCGCAAACTCTTCAGATTAAGTTAAAAATATTAAATTGTATATATGTGAAATACTGTCTTTGTCAACTAGTAGCACTTTGTATACAATGTGTGACCTAAACATTAAATATTAGCCAAATTCAAACTGATACATTTGCTTTGAAATTAACAGTGTGATGTTAAAATATTGCCTGGACCTGGTTGTTAACTCTCTTGCAATTTAAAAAAATTAAATAAAAAAAATTAAAAAAAAGAACAAACTGATTTGATCTAGTTTGTGATATTTGGTCAGGATGTGTCCATCAGGTTTTACCGAGCAGTGGGTTGCGTGAGAGATAGTAGAAGTGTGTGGAGGTATGTGGGCCTAAGAGACACAACGGGCGGAGGGATCCCCTGTGATTGGTGCAAATGCTGCTTTTAATAACAGAACAAAAGAGGAACTGGAAATGCATATGTTTAAAAAATGTGGATTTTCCCCAAAACCCTCTCACTCTCTCACTCTGTGGCTTTGGTAATTTTATATTGACTGTGGGTTTGGCAAAAGACAAAAAAGAGCAGAAAAGAGGCACAGGGGTGTGTATGTGAATGGGGGTGGGGGAGCTCATAGCTCATAGATTTTGCAAAGTTTTATTAGACGTATTTATTCATTTTAATGTTCGTATTATTTCAAGTCCTGTGAGTGCATGGAGAGGGACTAAAATGATTTCCAGCTGATTGATGGAGAGTCAGCTGAACTTTTGATCATTGTGTGCATTTTCAAGGTCGTCCTTATATTTGATTGACACAGAAATATTTTTCTATTTAAAATGACAACCGCATTTGTTAATTTGATCCAAATGAATCTATGCACATAGTCATCACAGTTTATATATTTATCCCTCAGTCAGTTTTGCAGTTTCTTTCTGGTCTTTTGACAGCTGTGTGTCCCAGAGCCTCCTCACATTAGATTGAATGTTTCCATGTATTAAATTATGGAAAGAAAATTATAAAATTAAAGTATTTTTACTGTATGTTTTGTTCTTTTTCCAAATTCTGAAATTGAAGGGACTTTTTTTGTCAATAAAAACCCTGTGGCATTAAACTGCTGTAGACTGTTTTATTTCACGTGGTGTGATGGTGCTAATCACTCCCTAAAATAGAATCAGTCCATCAGAGACACAATCAAACACCCCTCCCTCTTAATCAGCAGCGTGTTGGCAGTGAAAGTCAAACACCATTACTTCATCCTTCAAAGCTGCCCTTTTTTCTTTCTTCAGTTTCTTTTCTTTCTTTAGTTCATTTATTCTTTACTTTCTTGTCTTTTTTCATTCTTTTCTTTTTCTTTCTTTCTTTGGCTTATTATTGATATAGGATTTAATAGTGGTACTCTGAATATTCTTTAAGAAGTGCTTCTGTATGATAATTATTATGATCAGATTTGCAGGCATTACTTCAAATGTAGACAAAAGAGCAGAAGTGCAGCAAACATTTGGGGAAGTTTGCTTACAACAACAAATTTTTGATGCATGAACTGATGAAATGTAACAACCCGACATTAGTTCAAAACCATTTTGCATCTGTAGGTAGTTATTTTGTTTGCTGCAACACTAAAACAAAATGTTTTTGACTATGTGTAAGTATTTATTCAAAAAAAAGTAAGAAGTAAGAAAATGAGAAGGTTGTGAAATGTTTTCATCTGTTACATGTTTTTCATCCAAGTGACTTTCAAAACTGATTTCAGTTCACTTCAGTGAACCTAAAACTATACTTTATAGTAATTTGCTTGGGCAGCTCTATGTTAATGAATCTGAATGCTTTATTCTTGCAGGAAATGATACAGCCGTGACGGCATATGGCAAACAACTGCCATTTGTTTTACTGTATAGCACAGCTTTTGTCTTTTGTTAAGTGGTTTACAGTTCATTTCCTTTGACAAAAGAGAAATGTTTATGTCTATGGAGAATCACTCTCAAACTGGATGTTTGTCTTGCTCAAAGACACTTCTGGTTCTTCTGGTTGAAGAACACTTTCTCTACCCACCAGTGAAATACATCTGTAGCTGTGTTCATTCTTTATACACAAGTCTGCTTACTCTGTTGCACTATTGGTACAGGTAATTGAAACTTAAATATGCTCAGCTACCCCATCTGACAACCTCATGATCATGGATGGTATTTGTAGCACTTTGCAAGTAATTCTGATGCGGAGGTTGCTATCCAACTGTGGTGAATTTTGTACACCACAAATATAAGTCAGACCAGTTCTAAATTAAATGTCATCTTACTCACTGTACCCAAAACCAGCCAACCTATCAAAAAAACGTGATACGGGTGACTAAATGCTGCTGATGCGTCGCACCCAAAAGTATCTGACCTACGTCACCCAGCTTGGTTTGTTAATGTTACGGTTAGTTGATTGTTTACTCAACCTACCGTTAATCTAAAGCTCAGTGTATCAAATACCAGCAGAGCAGCTCAGCCCCTGCATGCCCCAGCCGCATACACAGGTTCACAAGCACAAAGCAGCCACTTCTGATGAATCATCATGCAAACAAGCAGAGCCACAAAAAATTTACAGTAAGTGTAACAAACCAGCCTGCAGATCATGAACGGTGGCGTAAACTGTTTACTGTGATGGGAAACTGAGCGCCCAGACCACAGCCGAGATTTAAAACTGTCTTAAAACTTATGTTTAAAGATGTTTGTGTTTACACCGGGGGAAAAAATAGCATTTGATAGTGATAACTTAATAATTCTACCAATTTCACAGCCACTGGAGGAAAATTGGCTACAGATGATTACCCTTAAATTTTGTAACGGCAAGAACATTTAAATTAACTACTGAGAAAATACTGATTGATGGTGATTTTTAATTAGAAAAATCAATGGAATACAAGAATCTGGTGACAAAGTATGTACAATTTTATTACAAATATCCACAAACATGCAAAAAATATATATATATATATATAAAAAGTTGATACAAAAGTCGCATGGGTGCCAGTAAAAGATAGAAAACTGCTTGATATAAAAAGTGTGCAGACACAGAGTGAAAGTAAACCATTTTTTGCCTATTTTTTGACCCAGAAATAACAGGTAAGGAACTATGCAACAGTAGAGTGGCAGTTGGCGTGTCACATATGCGTATCTTTGGTGATAAACACACACACACACATTATGACCAAGAAGTGTCTTTGGTGCACCGTATGCATGAATGCTACAAGCTTAGTCACACCTCATGCACCACCGTCTTATCTCGTTGTACCAAGGCTTTGCCGGATTACTCACAGAGTCTGAGTACATCTGAGGCACTTTTCACGTTGACTACACTGCAGTCAAAAAGAGGAAGTTAAAAGCTGATGTATGTGTCCTGAGTCTTGACCCTCTCGTCACACCTCAACAGACAGCCCACAAGTGTGACACATTATTGTTCCATGGGCGTTAAAATAGGCTGTAGCACATGTAGATTATTACGAGAAATAGGAGGATATTTTAGCAATAAATGGAATAAAGCAGCTCTGTGAGATTATTAAACAAACAGTGAGACAGTGCAAGTTTCATCTGCTCCCTCAAAGAAAACAAAAAACAAAGTCTGACTTCATCTTTCGCCCCTTTAACCTCCCATCCAGAAATGCAGAAATGACTGTCCCCTAACCAGGCAAACAATTAAAAAGGTGCAGTCCTCTGCTTTTTGTTTAAGGAATAAAATAAATAAACAACCACCGTCCAGATCTTCCTTTCGCTTTACTGCTTGCTCTAAACTACTAAATAGATTGCTGATTAGTTAAAGCCACTGAGCACCATAGTTAACCTGAAGAGATGAGCTGGTTATACCATGTGATTTCACAGCATGAATGATAAAAGTTCCGGCAGTGAATACTTTTATATATCCTCAATCCCCCACTGGCTTTAGGACAAAGTAATAGCTGCATGTGTGTATTTTCATTTAAAACATTTAACAAGTTATTGTTAATTTCTTAAAATAGAGGTAAAGATTTGTATCAAATAATACCACAGGATACTGAAAACTGAATGTTACTTGCAGAAGAATAAACATACTAACTGAGCATCATGCGATTCTGTCTGCATTAGTAACATTTAATCTCTAACTTTGATGGCATGTTAAAGTAACTGTAGGTGTCTTTTTCGTCCTTCAATCTATCCTACACACATTTCCTTCAGGGCCTGGTTTCTCAAGTTGAAATGTTTCAAGCAAAGTTAAAAACTCAACTTGATACTGGATGTAAAATAAATACCAAAGCCTCTTTCTTTATGGGTTGTACAACAGTCAGCAGCAGCAAGCATATAATAAGTGAGATTTCTGCAATGTCACATCTGGATATGTGACCTCAGATGAGTCAACCCAAATGTTTTAGCTGTACTCGTAAACAAAAACCAATTAAAAGAACAAAATAAATCAAACAAACACTAGGTACATCAAGTCTATTTTGCATGATAAAATACTGTACTTTGCATTATCACATATATTTTGTTTGTATGGCTTCATCCACTTTAAGGCCATCTATGCTTTGGCAGTTCTGTGCATGTTTTCATCTTGTAAAATGAGTGAAAAATCAGTGGCGCTGTTATATATATATATATATATATATATATATATATATATATATGAGAGGAAAATGTATGGAAAATCTTAATATATATAGTATATGCATTGTATTGGCTTGTTGAAGTCACCTTAAGTTTTTATTCTTGGTAAATCTGTTAAATCCAGGCTCAGTTCACATTTCTCCAAGTCTCCGTTCTGGTCGTCAGTGTCTCGGCCCCAGAACTGTCTCTCTGCATTGTCAATATGATTTCTGACATTGTAACCGTTTCTCTCATTTTGCACTCCATTGTCCCCTGTAGGTGATTCTTGGATACCTCCCAGCTTCTCTGCTGCCTCTGAAAAACTCAGATGTGCCTCCTCCCCAGGACCATCACTGACCCCTGTCTCTTTATCTTCCTCCTCCTTGAGGGCCTCTGCAGCTCCATCCAGACTGGAGTCGCTGAGGAAGGAGTGCGGGGTTTGGGTATCCTCCAGTGACAGAGGGGTCTCATCAATAAGGCGGCCCCCAAGATTGTTGCCTGCCCCTGGGGTGAGAGGCATCTCCTCGTGGTCTTGGTCTGGATCCTGGTCTTTGCTGCAATAAGCATAGCGGTGGTTCATGTGCTGGGAGTACGAGCCAGAGTGAGAGAAGCGTTTGCCACACTTGTCACATTGGTAGGGTTTCTCTCCGGAGTGCAGCCGGCTGTGCTCAATCAGATGGTGCTTATGCTTGAAGGCCTTGTTGCAGATTTTGCACTCATGAGGACGCTTGCCTGTAATTAACAGAAAGAAATTATTTCTCATGTAAATATAACAGTTTCTTTTTTCTTTTCTTTTTTTAAGAAAAGACATTTAAGACTTGAATGCATTGAAACCTGTTGTAAGGTCAGTAGGTATTTTTCTGTCATAATTTTTGAAGAAATTGTTTCACATTCAGGTAGATTTGTTCTGTACGGTAAATGGAAGAATGGAAACTCCGCCTACCAGCACTTCTAAAGCTCTGTAATTAACACTATATATCTAATCTAATTTATATGTCCCTACAAAAAAATTACGAAGTGTAAAAACAAAGAGTTGTGGTTTTATGTATGTGTTATGTGCCGATTTTTAAAGTTTAGTTTTTGTGCAAATTGATCAAACGTGTGAATTATTATGTTTACGAAGCACTGGCAAGTGAATTTTGTTACCTTCTGACAGAGTCAGACTTGCTGTTTGCCCTTGTTTCCAGTCTTTAAGCTAAGCTAAGCTAACTTGGCTGCTCGCGATAGCTTCATATTTACAGTGCAGGAAGTCAAGCCCAAAATGTCAAACTATTTCTTTAGACATTTTTATCAATATTTTACTAAAGTGAGTTTTTACAATGCTTCTTTCCAACTCAGAACCCTAACCCACCTGTTTGCCCCCCATACTACAGTCCTCTTCTACCATGAATAAAATGAAATGTCTTTTTAAACTATATGAAATGGCCAAGCCTAAAGTATTGTTGCAGACTGCGTACAAACTACAGACCTGTGTGCTCATATTTGTGTCGGAGCAGAGAGCTGCTCTTCTGAAAGGTTTTTTCACAGATGTCACAAGCGTAAAGCCCCTCATCTGTCTTCTTCAGTCTCTTCCTCCCTGGCCCTCCTTCTCCATCCAGTCCTTCATCCATGAGAGAGAGATAGTCCAGAGCTCCACGGCTTAACACCTCACCCTACGGAGAAAACATTTGTTTCATTATAATTATTATTCTAAATGTAGACATTCTTACAGTTTAACTGCTTCTGCATTGATGGTGATGCTGTTCTTCAGTAATTACACATAATTCTTTAAAACAAACCTTACTCACCATGAGAGCTTGCCTCTCCTGGTGGATCTTCTTCAATGCCGCCTCTGCGTCTGCCTCCATCATGTAAGCCATGGGAGAGAGAAACCCAGGGCTATTAGCTGGCTGGCCAAATGGCGGAATCGCTGTGATGCCGTCATGCCCTGAAAGCCCTAAACCAGACTGGTTGAAGATAGGAAATCCATTGTATAAGGAACCTGGAAACACAGGAGCTCTGGCACCACTGAAGACTGGGTGGTGGTGAAGGGATAGATGTGAAGTTGGACTTGGCCTCTTAAGCTGCTGGTTCCCAGGCTCTCTCCTCTCTCCTCTGGCTGAGTTGCCGTTTACAGTTTTGTTTCTCCCCTCCTGGTCTGAGAGCTGCTTGGGCAGGGAGAGATCCAGAGGTTCGCTCTGTGACCAGGGGCTGCCGGTCTGGTTCTGAGGGGAGGGGAGTTCGGGAGGACAGCTGGTGAGGTCGAGGCAGACCGGCGAACCGAATCCTGAAGAGGGAACTCTCCTTCTGGCTCGAGGTGATGACAGCTCTGGGGAGCGGTTGATTGGTTGACTTGGACTTCCCTTTTCCTGGCCAGACCAGTACGCTCGTGAGGACAGGGCATCATGGTGTGGCTGTGGGGGAGAGTGCATTGCAACCAAAAGTTGCTGCGGTACCGAGAACCAGCTGGGATTCTGTAAGGGTGATTTGCTCCCAGAGAGGCCGTTGGTTACTTCGCTCTGTTTGCTGTTCTCCGGTTGGAGGGAAGATCTCGGGAAGAACAAAGGTGACGAGGGGTGGTCTTTACCGCGAAGACCCTCGGGCACCTCCACTGCATCTCGGTTCATCTTACAGAGGTAGCGCTCGTGCTGCAGGAGCACCGCCACATTTGGGAAAAGCTGGGAGCACCAGCGGCATGTCACTCCAAGCACACCTCTCTCTCCCTCACCTGACCTCACTGCCTCTCTTCTCCTGTCAGGTGACACCTTCCTGTCGGGCCTTCCTCCGTTGTAAATCACCCTGATTTCCTCCGCTGCAGCTCCTCCTCCTGCTTCTCTGTCCATCTCCTCGTCCTTCTTCACCTCCCTGTGAAGCATCTCCTGTAGCATCTGCTCAAACTTGGTCCCAGAGTGCAGATAAGGCAGCAGGGTGGTCCCTTTTAGTATGCTGGCCCTCAGGGAGAGCTCTGCCGAGGGGTCCCACAGCCGAGCTAGGTCTGAAGCTCTGGCGAAGCCTGTGGGATTGTGGTTGGGGTCCTGCAGTGAAAGCTGGTGAGGATCCTCTGTTACTCGACCCAGAGGCCTGGTATTATCTTGGGTCTGTGAAGTCATTGGAGAGCCCTTGTCGTTACTGTTTCTCCCCCCGCCTGCAGAGGGAGATGTAGGAAATGAGTGGTGGTAGGAGCTTTGAGTATGTCCATTAAAAGCACCGCTGGCTCCTCCTGTGCTTCCCCCTCCATTCCCTCCACCACTCAGGCACTTTTTGCTGCTTAAGTGGGAGCTGTAGGAGCCTGAGTGAGAGAAACGTTTCTTGCAGTTGGAGCACTCATAAGGTTTTTCACCTAAAGGATGACACACAGACAGGATGTATTCGTCAAAAGTTGCTGAGAGTTGGTTGAAAATCCCCTCGACTTGGGTGTGATCGTTTCACATTTTTCATAACTTACTTGCCTTGTCACAAATTATTTTTACTTGTTTTCTGTCAACACATCAAATTAAGTATAATTTCATACCATATAAATGGTGCAATAAGTAAGGGTTACGGATATAGTGGAAACAATAGCAAATTGATGGGTGAGTACATCTGTTTTGATGTTATTTTGTCTCACCGCTGTGGATGCGGAGATGCTCTTTGAGGTGGTGTTTGTACTTGAACGCTTTCCCACACTGCAGACATTTGAACTTCCTGGTCTCCATGGCTTGATCCAAAGCACACTAGGACAATAGGACATTGTTATTAGTTTTATAATTTTATATAGGGACGCATTTCGGGGTGTGAAGATGTAAGATCATATCTTTATATTATAATAAATATCCTTGTAGCACAAAATAAGCATATCATACAATACACTTATGAAATTTTTGCCTCATTGCAATGAACGTTTCTCCTGCTGTCTGTGTGTTTCTCACCTTCTCCTGCATTTGGTTGTGAAGTGCCAGATGCCGCTCCATCTGTGCCCTATGGGTGGCAGTGTATCCACAGAGCGGACATGCCATATGGGCCCCCTCCCTCTCCTGGCAGTACTTGATGTGGTCCCTAAAAGAAGCTCCTCGCTGATACATCCTGTGGCAGAATGGACAGGCCTGATGGGACCTTCCTGCATCTGGAGTCCAGAGAGAGATGACATTTTAAATAGACCGTTTTTTTTGTACAAATTTATCAAATATAGCCATCCATCCAATCATTCATCCATTCATTTTATAAACTGCTTATCCTGTTTAAGGTTTAAGATCGCCAGCATATCACACACATATAGGGCAGCACCCGCATTCACTCACATTCCTTAAATACTTAACATACTAACTACTTAAATATAGCTGCTGTAAACTTTCTTCATAAAGAAGATCCTTTCGGAACAATGATTAGTAGACCCTATATTAAAGCTCTTTTAGGAATTATATTTACATTTAGGTTCTGCCTATTATCACACATGTTGCCTATTGAACTGAATGAATGAAGTCATTCGCCACCCAAACAGCACCTGTGCTCATGCAACACATGTTATACAGAAAAAAAGACATGTATGGCCTCAGACTCACAGAGTAAAATTTAAGTGAAACTCAAATTGTCTTAGTTCACTATTTATATGTACAAACAAAAAAGCTAAATTTCCTAAAAATACTGGAACATGAGCATGTTGTTTAGTAATTGTATTTGTGTC